ATCTCGGCAACACTTAACTTATTATTATGTTTCTCTTTTAAAGGCCAACATTCAGCGTCATAGAGCATTGCAGGTCTCACCTAATCATTCCAATCAAAGGTCAATTAGTGAAAAATTATTACACATAGTGACTAAGCCAGAGGTGATATGCTCGGAAATTCATTTCAAGATGTGAAAGAATTTGTTTCATGTTCATATCTCTTTGAATTTTATTTAAAATTCTCTTATAGCACAAGGATGCATTTCAAAGTTATTATAAACTCCCCCTCCCACAACTCCCCCTCCCACAACCCCCAACAACAGGGCATTTTTTTAGTTTATTAAGTTGAAGTTGAGTTCAAAATTAAAATCCTAAAAATATGTCGCATTGTTAAAATTTCCCCTACAAGGCTAAGGGAAATTTTTTTAGAAATTTCATATAAAAAGTATTTAATTTCTGCTTATAAGACAGGGCTCATAGTTTGGGTTGACATCGTGCGTCAAGTCATGATCCTTAAATATGATGCCAAAATCCTTTATTTTAAAGCACAAAATATTATGATTGCATCAAGCCTTAATGCAGAGATCCCCAAATAATTGCTAAAAAAAGTGTCATCAGACAAAAAGATTTGCAAGATAGAATTAAAATGCAAGGATTTCAAAATTTGCAAGCTTTGACAATTCAAGTTAGAAGGATGCAAGTTCTACCATAGTTCAAGTCTAAGACTCAAGTGGGTCAAGTTCGGACTTAACAAGCCCAAAAGTGACCAAGTCACTGATGATTCTATTCATTCAACAAGCCATAAAGACAACTATAATGAAAAAACAAGCTCTTCTTACTCAAAAAGCCATAAAAATGACCACATGAGAAGCCCCTTCTTGGTTAGTTTGATGATAAGAGTTGTCTAGTTCCTAAAATCGTCTGATTTGACAAATGAAAGCCTTCAAAATTCAGAAGACTTTCGACAAAATGACTGATAAAAAAAAATCTAAAGTCTATAAACTAATACTTATTAAGTTGAAGAAGCACAAGTTCATCATAATCCAAATCTAGGACTCAAACAAGTCAAAAAGGACAAACTCAACAAGCCTAGACACGGTCGAGTCGTGACAATTTTTTTCACTCAACAAGCAATAAAAAGGCTTCGGTGAAGAAGCCCCTATTTTGCTGGTTGACAAAAACTATCAAATCTCAAGCTTATTTGACCTGATAAGTTCAAGTAAACTAGACGATTATATTTTTTTTATTAATCAAAAGATCAAGAAAATCAAAAGAAATGATCATCACTTAAGAAGCATCAAGTTGAGCTCGGTGTTGTGCTCAAATTAGGAAAGTCCAACTTCTTCAAAAGGTATGATCAAGTATAAAGCACATACCAAAAAATCTTTCTTCAACAAGCCCGCCAAAGGAAAAAACATAGGGCTGAAATAGTTGTTCCATAAATTCGTTCGAAGTTTGAGATTGAATTAAGGAAATACGATCGTCAACAAGTCCAATAAAGCACTAAGCATTAGGCTGACGATTTCTCGTCACCAAACTAATAGGAGATTAAATGCTAGGCCACAAGCATACATCGTTTAAGAGCAATACAAGACAACTTCAATAAAGAAAGAAGAAAAAGGCAGAGAGTA